GTGTGTGTGTGTGTGTGTGTGTGTGTGTGTGTGTGTGTGTGTGTGTGGTGTTTGGCCTTTGCCTTCCAAGTGCTGGGATTATAGTTGTGTCTCACCACACCCAGTTTATATTTTCTTGTCTTAAACTTTATGTTGTGTATTTCTATAAATTTCAACATATTTGCTTAACATTATATTTATGAGCTTTTTATTGTAAGGCTGTAGATCATTTATTGTCAGCATTATGTGTAATTGCATCATTCCATCTAAAATTTACCCCGTTCCCCTCTTCCAGGACACTTAAACAGTTTTCAGTTTTCATGACTATAGGACTGCAATGAGCGCTTTAATGCATGCATGTGAGAATTTCTTGAGGCCATAAACACCTAGTGTGGAACACTACAAAGTGCTACACAAAGTAGCTGAACAAATTCTTATTCTTACCAATCCCCAAAAGGCTTTGTTTTTCATTGTTGCTTTTGTTTTGCAACAAGGAATGCTGGGATCACTATGTAGCTCCAGATTACCTGGAACTGGCTATGTAGACCAGACTGGCCTCTAACTCAGAGATCTGCCCATTTTCCTTGGCTTCCTAAGTGTTGCAATTAAAAGTATGCACCACCATACCTGGCCTTAAAAGGATATTTTTGGCCCAAATATCTAGTGGACCTGAGATAAAGTGTAGAATGCTTTGGCAGAATTCTGAGAACAGTGACTAGAGAAGTTTGTTTAATGGAATCCTGTCTAGAGTGTGGGCTATATATCAGTACCTTACCTGGGTATTGTTGGACTCTAAGATCCAAAACCAGGGGCCGTGCTCCCCCAGAAACACTCACAGATGGGATCTGCTGCAATAACATGAGGCTTATTGATGATAAAATGTTAACCAGTGTACTGGGGTTCCCCTATACTCAGACAAGAGGAACCCCGAGCCAAAGCTGGGAACAGTTTTTATACAGAGTTCATGAGGGAAATCACAAAGGCTGACCTTTCCAGTTCTGGTCTCTAGGTAACTCAGATTATGACAATCATTGTTCTGGAATGTGTCTGTGTGCTCTGGGCCTTCCTCACCCGCAAGTGGGTTCCCTCCCCTGTGGTCTGAGGAATGTTAATCAGCCTCTCTCTTTTCCTCTGAATGTTAATCTAGCAAGTGTCCTCTGACTAAGGAATGTGCCCCTCCTGGGATGTGTCCTGGGACAGTGGGGTTCTTTCAAATTTAAGTTCAAACTGAGACCCAAAAGTCCTACAATACCACATCTAGTAGGGTTTCCAGAGACCAGTGGTTTCTACATCCTTTTTACACCTTGCAGGTTTATGGGTCCTTTAGTGTCTGCAGAAGGAAGGCAGGATCCTAATTCATTCCCTTTTCTCATCTCACTCAGAGTAATTCTGTAATTAGCAGCATTTCACATTAGACCTTGGTGTTTTACTAAGGAAATTTACTTAGTTAAAACATGTTTGATAATACTGACCTATGATACTCTTTCCCCCACAGGAGAGTAGGCGAGTCCTAACTCTTTGTGCCCGGTTCCTGAATTGGAAGCTGCCCCGAGAAGTATACTGCAAAGACCCCTTATACATCAAACCAAATGAAGTTAGAAGGGTCTGCAAATTCTTTGTATGTGAGAAATAGTGGCTTTGTTTGTTTTTCTGATAGCTTTTAGTGGAGACACATGGCACACAGGAAACATTTTCCATTCCCTCCTCTTCATAGCAGTAATTGCTCTCCATGAAGTGTTTAAAAGGTATATCTTTTTCCTATAGTTCCCTTGATTAGTCACAAGTACACTTTTAAAAATTCTTTTTGTGTGTTTGCACACACATTGAGTGTGCCACAGTGTGCAAATGGAGGTCAGTGAACAACTTTAAAGAGTCAGTTCTTGCCTTCCACCTTATGAGGCAGGGAGTCGCCTGTCTCCATCTCCCTCTCACTCTAGGAATGCTGGGATTACATATCTGGCTTTTGTGGGTTCCAGGGATCACACTTGAATTCTCAGATTTGTAAGACAAGCACTTTTACCCACTGGGCCATTTCACTAGTAGTTCACTACTGTATATATTTCTTCATATATGCAAAAAGCTGGTGGTACAAGATGTGGTGCACAGACCTGTAAATAGCAGTACTCAGGAGGCTGAGTCAGGAATCTCAGGGAAGTTTGAGGGCAAGTTGAGACCTTGTCCCAAAACAGTAATAAAGAAAATAGCTGATAAACTAGCAAGCACCATTAATTGCATTAGAAACTACAAGGTCAGGCTGACAATGTCTAGTCAAAAACTTTTATTTGGGCTAGGCTTGGTAGTACATATCTTTAATTCCAGCACTCAGGAGGTGCATTTTTGTAACTTATTGGCCAAGCTGGTCTACACAGCAAGTTCTAGGCCAGCTAGAGCTATATAGTGAGACTTTGCCTCAAAAACAAAACAAAAAATCCATGTGAGCTGAATCGAAATAATTACATGTTGTCTTTATGTTTATAGCCCTATGCCTGATATAGTGGATTGTTGTATTTTCTCTCAGAGCATGATAAGCCCTATGCAAGGAAGGACTGTATGACCTTACACAGGAAGACAGCAACATGTCACTAACCAACCCTGAGACCTAGATAAGCATCTTCTCAAAAATCCAGCAGAGCCTATATGGCTCATATCAGGGTCAGGCTTGATTCAGGGTAGCTTTAGAAGGTCTATGCATAGTTTTCTAGAAACTGATTATAGTAGAACCATCTGGATCTCACACTGAAGTCTCTGGGACTATTTCTAGAAATCTTCCACATATTTAAAACCCAAAATAGTCTCATCAAGCTTGTCGGGCTAGGAAGCACATCACAGTGCCTCTCCTGTCTTTTTCCTGGATAGCAAGGTCTCTGACCTCCAGTCAGTATCTATGATTGATGCATTAAGGACAATATTTCCAACAAGAAATTTGGTGTTCTAGTGGGTAAAAGTACAAATTGTCCATGTGAAATTGTAACCTCTATGAGAAACAATCCTTGTCTCCCTGTTCTTGTCCTTCTAAGAGGCCCTTGGAAGGTATACACATTCACCCAGAGAGCAAAACACAGCCTACGTGTAGCAGTCTACAGCAATCCAGTTTAAAGCTTCCAGTTTAGAGCCGGAAAACTATTAAGGGGACTGAAAACTTGTAAGGAACTAAAATGGAAAGTCCAAGTGGAAAATAGTCTGTGCCAAGAGAGGAAGCCTCAGAGCAGGGCTGACAGGGAAGTTAAAGCTAAAGGTGGCATTTAGAGTTGAGAAGACAGAGAGGGGCAGAGGAGCCAGGGTGACACAGGTGTCATGGACAGGGGTGCACGTGAGTATCCTGAGGACTTAGCGTGCAGGGCTTGCTGTCATGATGAAGAGTCGCTGTGACAGTCACCGCAGTGGCTCGCACTGCTGTACTCACCTGCTGCTTTGTTCTCTGTATACTCTTTCCACCAATGTAGGGAGAAAAAAGCAAGGGGAAGATAGACATCCTAGACCAGACACTAATGTATTCCAAGGATCCAAAACTTCCCATCAGAAGAACAGCTGTCTTGTTTGTAGGTAAAAGAAACCTCTTTCGTTTCTACAGTTGCCTTTGTCCTGTGCCTTCCCACGGGGTGTTGAGCATCCCCACCCTTTACATACATAGACCGTATTGCATCATAGTCATCCCCTAACCCTCTACTATCCTCACCCACTCCCATCGACCCCCTTCTTTCCAAATGGTCTCTTGCCTACTTTCATGCTTTTTATTTTGGTGACTCAATGAAATTTAAGAAGGGTTACTTTAGGTGCATGGATAAGGATTATTTACAGGAGCCTGGGTAACTTACAAATGACTACACCATTGAGAAAATGTTTCTCTTCACTTTACCCCTTTCAGCAACCATTAACAGTATGTATAGGACATCACAGACCCCTTTCCCCAGAAACCTTTATAACTGCCCAGAAATCCTCAAGGGTGTGCCGGCCCTTGTAAGTCCTTAGTGACAGAATATTTGTGGGTCCAGTCTTGTGCAGGAACCATATAATTGACCAATAACTATAAAGCTCTTGGGAATATTATTTTACTATTTAAATATCAAATATTTTTTTACTATTTAAAATGATTTAGTGTGCATGAATGCACTCATGTGTGCGTGTGTGTGTGTGCGCGCGCGCGCGTGCGCGTGTGTGCACACACATGTAGGTGGTAGGTGACATGGCATTTAGGTACATGGTGGATATGTGGAGGTCAGAGAACTTGTGAGAGTCAGCTCTTCTTCCACCATGTGGGTTCTGAGAACTGAACTCAGGTTGCTGGGCTCATGAGCAAGCACATTAACCCTTTAAGCCACCTTACTATTCTTTCTTTCCTTATTTCCTTCCTTCCGTTCATTCTTTTTCATTTCTTTTCTTTCTTTTTTGAAACAAGTTTTCACTGTGTAGCTCTGGCTGGTCTGAAACTGCTATGTAGACCAGGCTTGCCTTAAACTCAGACAGATCTACCTGCCTTTGCCCTATGAATGTTCAGATTAAGATGTGTGCTACCAGTCAAGGCTCTACTTAGCTTTTGAGACAGTTTCACTGTGTACCTTAGGCTGACTTGGATCTCATAGCAGTTCTCATGCCTGAGCTTCCCAAGTGTGAGGTTGCAGGTATGAGCTAGAATTTATTACTTTGCTTATGCCTTATTTTCAAAAGGCTAATTCTGTCATTTGCCTACATTATTAAATGATAAAAATGGAAAAACTTCTAATCCCTAAAAGTCTGATACTTGCTATTTTATGTTCAGGGCTCTTAGCACATTATGTGGATACCAATGAACTCAAGAGGAAGGGCACTGACTGGATAGAGAACGGTAAGTAATGACATTGTGTGGATGTGGAATACACTATTTTGGAAGGATCTGATCCTGTGCCTACAGAAGGCTCTGTAGCACAACTGAGTCTGGCATTTAAGCTCTGAGCTTATGCAGCAATGAAAACACAAGTGACTGTAATTCAACTAACTTACAGTCTTAAGTCTAAGATGCCTTTGGAAAGGCTGTCATCCTGTTTGTATGGAAACAGCTTTAACAACTGTCTTAGGGAGAGCTCTAAACGTTATCAGGAAGTAAAACAATCTCTCTCTGAAATTCTATATTAATAAATTGTGATGATATTCACACACATCTCAGAGGCTGCAGTACTGTCTAAGCAGCTATGATGTAGAAAGTAGAACTTGGCATGAAGATGCTTTATAGTCATCTAAGGCAACTATCAGAGAACTGTTTTCAGCACAGTCGGGGGGGGGGTGTCAGACTCTGTGTAAGTGCACAGCTCTGCAGACTGACTGCTCAGGGATTATCGCTCCCATTTAAGAGAACTTGTATGAATTTGGATACAGTTCAGTGGTCGAGTGCTTGTTTATATCTTAGTTGTAGAATGTTTAGTTATAGAATGCATTGGGCTCTAGGTTCAATCTCTAGCACAAGAGGGAAAGGTAGTAATAGTTAGAAAAGGTAAAGGAATGCAAACATACACCCTCACGATCTAAAATCACTACTTTCATAGCCAAATTAAAAATCTAAACGATTTTGTTGTTGTTGTTTGAGACAGGGTTTTTCTGCATAGTCCTCACTGTTTTAGGAATTCACTCTGTAGACCAGACTGGCCTCAAATCCACAGAGATCCACCACCTGTCTCTGACTCCTGAATGCTGGGATTAAAGGTGTGTAACCCCATCCTCACTGCTCTTTTATTATTAGTTAAGATTTTTTACTTACTTAGTGTGTGTATGGAGGAAGGAGAACAAATTCCAAGAATGAGTGATTCTTTTCCTCAACCATGTGGGTTCTAGGGATTGAAATCAGCTTGTCAGGCTTGGTTGAGGAGGGTCTTGCATGACCCAATTTACTATGTTTAAAAGCACAGTAATTACTGAAACAGGTAGAGAATAAAGCTAATATAAGGAAGACAATAATAATTGTCTTTATTTATTTTATGCATACAAATGTTGCTTGCATATGTGTACTATATACATGCCTGGTGCCTACAGAGGTTAGAAGTGGACATCAGGATCTGCTGGAACTGGAGTTACAGATGGTTATAGCCAACATATGGGTGCTGGGAAATCCAAGTCCTCTGCAAAAGCAGCAAATGCTCTTAACCACTGAGCCGTCTCTCCACCACAGTTATGCCACTTCTCATTAAGGTCTACCATTTCTTCATAGATACTGAAACATCCTAACACAACAAAAATCAGCCAAGCTTGTGGTATACACCTCTAATCCAATATTTGGGAGATCAAGGGAGGAAGATTATGAGTTAGAAGCTAGTTGGGGCTACATAATGAAATTTTGTTTCAAAAAAGTGAGAAATAAAGAAGGGGTGGGAGGTGGGGAAGAAAGCCTTATAAATTATTCTATGGGAGAGGGTATTATATGATTGATTTTTATTTTTTACCTAAAACACTGTGTGGGGGGAGTTCTTTTTATACATAGAAGTAACTCAGATAATAATGGGATATTATTCCATAAGATAAACATTTATCCCTGAAGTCAGGAGGGTAGAGGTAGGACATATGTCTGTCTGTCTGTCTGTCTGTCTCTCTCTCTCTCTCTCTCTCTCTCTCTCTCTCTCTCTCTCTTTTTTTAAAAAAGATTTGTTTTATGTATATGAGTACACTGTAGCTGTCAGACACACCAGGAGAGGGAATGGGAACCCATGTGGTTGCTGGGATTTGAACTCAGGACCTCTGAAAGAATAATCAGTGCTCTTAACCTCTGAGCCATTTCTCCAGCCCCCCGTCTCTTAAAAAAGCATTTTTTTGGTTGTTGTTATTGTTGTTTGTTGTTTTGGATCATATTGTTCCATTTGGACAAGAGTATTGAACAAAACAGAGCATGGAAAAGTGGTCAGGAAGACATACTTTTTGTTTGTCCAGATAAGATTTCTTTGTGGATCCCTGGCCGTTGTGGAAATGGACCTGTAGAGCAGGGCTGTCCTTGAATCCTGGGATTAAAGGCCTGTGTGCACCACTCTGCTGAAAAACATTCTTTCAAAACAACAACTGTTATCTCTACGTTCTTCTGGTGCCTACATGTACTATCTAAGTTTTCTATATAACAAACATGTATTTCTTTTGCTATAAGAAAATACAAGGCCGGGCAGTGGTGGCGCACACCTTTAATCCTAGCACTTGGGAGGCAGAGGCAGGCGGATTTCTGAGTTCGAGAGTTCGAGGCTAGCCTGGTCTACAGAGTGAGTTCCAAGACAGCCAGGACTACACAGAGAACCCTGTCTGGAAAAAAAAATACAAAAGCTAAAACTTTAAACTAGACATGATAATTTGTGTTTGGTATCTCAGCCACATGGTAGGCTAAAGAACAGAAATGGTTATTCAAGTTCAGCCTGGACAATGTAGGGAGAACCTGTCTCAAAATCAAAACAAAGCAAGCATTAAAAATTTCAATATACTAGGCCAGTCAGTGGTAGTGCACGCCTTTAACCCCAGCACTTGGGAGGCAGAGGCAGGTGGATTTCTGTGTTCGAGGCCAGCCTGGTCTACAGAGTGAGTTCCAGGGCAGCCAGGGCTACACAGAGAAACCCTGTCTCGAACCCCCCCTTCCCCCCCCCAAATACTGTCAGGCACTCCAGCATATTTCTTTAATCCCAGCAGCACTTGGGAGGCAGAGGTAGGTAGATCTTTGTGAGTTCAAGGACAGCTTCATCTACATAATAAATTCCAGGACAACCAAAGCTACCTAGTGAGACTGTGTCTCAAAAAAAAAATACTACAAGGGAATAATGATTTAAGAGTGAACATTTTGAGAGTAAGACAAGAAGATAAGAGGTTAACATTAAGTCAAATAGTGGTGGTGCACACTTTTAATCCCAGTACTTGGGAGGCAGGGGCTGGTGAATCTCTGAGTTCAAAGCCAGCCTGAGGCTAGCCAGGACAGCCAGGATATATAGAGAAACACTGCCTTGAAAAAAACAAAAGCAAAAAATTAAAAGGAAAAAAAAAGAAGTTAACATTAGATGTAAGAAAAGGAAAATACAACAAGGGACGATTTAAGACTTAAAATGTTTAGAATAAGGAAAAAAGTTAAGAGTTAGCACTAGACATAGGTTGTCAGGCCCAGGTAATTTGATTTAAGTAGACTACTTAAAATATGGTTATTGCAAAGGAATGAAATACATAACAAGTCAGAAAACAGTGGTTTTATAGGTCAAAACTGGAATCAGTTCAACAATGTGCAGACTTTGTAAACAGTCTTGAAACATTGCTCTTTTATCCCAGCCACTCTGCTTTGCTGGCTGCTTGGTATCTAGAGTACACTCACTTCTAGACTTCCAGTCTTGGTTTTTTGCCATGTAGATCTGAGAGAACTCTTACAAGATCCTGAGCCCTCTTTGCGCATCATCGCCTCCCAGGCTCTGTTCCGAATCCAGAGGGTGGGGAGTACAGCAGAAGCAGAGTTAAGCATGTCCTGGTTGAGGAAGCTCGTGGGCTGTCTTCACACTTAGACTGCAAAGCACATGACAACAGGTAAGAGCAAGCCCTTTCAGAAACCTCAGAAGTGACACACACATCCCATTTTCCTTTCTTTTATAAAGTTACCATATTTTATTTCTGTGTGTATCTATGAGTGTATACACTCATGTGGAGGTCTAAGAACAACTTGTGGTGAGAGTTCTTTCTTGCTACAGTATGCATCCCAAGGGTCAAACAAAGGTTGTCAGGCTTGGTAGCAAACATGTTTACCTGTAGGGTTAGATTTTTCAAAACCTACTTTATTTAAGGCTTTTAAATGCTTCAACCTCCCTTCTAGCCCACCAACCAGAGGTAGGGAAAAAAGAAAGTTAATGGAAAAGGGGGTTGTGGACCTGTTTAGTACTAGTTCTTTCAGGGAGATTCCACTCTTCCTTGTCATGACACCAGCAGTCCAGTCTAATAGCAAACACCAAACATGAATCAGTAGCAGCAGCTCAGCTCCATCTAACAGAAACAGCAAGGCTCCACATAATTGGCAAAAGTCATCGAAGTGGCCAGAATCAGCAGGAATACCACAAGAAGTTCTTTGACGAGCTTTTCTCAACAAAGTGAAGATCAGCAAAGAAGGGCAGTGTTGCACAGTGTAACAAAGCAAGATCGTCCTCCCACTGTTTGGGCCTTCTAATTATATTCTTTCCAAATATCACACGCCCTCCCTCGCAAGGGTCTGTTTTCGGCAAAACACATGCCCTCTCACAAGACAGCTTCCAGAAAAGCATCATGTGACACAACTGAGTTGTTAAAGAAACCAGAAATTTTCACTTCATTTACCCACTGAGTAAGCCTGAATTCACCCATTTTGCCTGAATCCTGCTTTTTATTCCAGGCTTAAACAACCCCAGCCTGAAGCTACTTCCATGCAGGTAGCTACCTTCAACACAATCCCCACTTTAAAAACATTTTATTAGTTAAATTGTATTATATTTTCATACTTAGTATTTTATAAGTTCTCATAAGGCCCTTTCCTTCCAATTCCTGTTAAAACCTGTGAGCAATAACAAAATTCTGACAGGAGTATAAAACAGAAAGCATCTACCCCAGCACATGCAAAGTCCCCACTTCTTTAGCTCCCGTGTTCCTAATTTCTCCAATGACTGCTGAAAAATTCTATATAGTTCTAAGATGGAAACTGTTGACTACCTGCTGTCTACCTTAAAGAAAAATAAATAAATATTCTCATAATATGAATTTCTAAGAAACACATTATTTTATGTTGATAACTGCATGTAGAAGGGTGTGAAATCCCTATGGGGAAAACTAGAAATGAGGTATTAAATCTAAATTCTAGGCTCTTGTTTAGTGGAAAAACCTAAGCAGAAAGCCAGAGCTCAACTCTCCAGGACAAAAGAAACCTCTCAGGATCATATGGAGAGAAAAAGGAAGCGTGACAACTAGCAGATGAAGAGCTATATCCCATGGTGGATTGCACTGTGTTGTTCACTGAGAAATTTGAATCTTTAGTCAGCCTCTTCCCCAGCATTCACTGCTATCTCTATATCAAAGGCAGATGCTGAGATACCTTCAGGTACAAATTGTTCTAAGGAACAATGTGGTTCATATTGAGTGGGATGTGGCAATATGCTAGGTGTAGCTTCAGGAGGTTCACTGTCCAAAAGAGGTCTTCTTATCTCAACCTGCAGTATTTTAGCTAAAATGAAGATCCCAGTTGCCTGATGGATTTAGGTTATGTTCAACCCATAGCCTGCAGGCCACAGGCATTCTAGATAATAATTTTACTTTGGACATCCACCCCAGCTTAAATCTTCATTCCAAGTCAGACTCAAGAATATCTAAATCACTACATGCAAAACTGCAATGCTAACTAAACAAACATTTGAATTACATTCACCCTTCATCATATTCTCCTTTGACTCATTTCAGGAAACCAACTCTGTTATCCACTTTTGAATTAGTCTTTTTTCTAGATTACCCAATAAAAATGAGTAACAGCCTACTGAGAGTTTATGATGAGCCTAACTCTAAGTACATATATAATTAACCCTTTTTATTCTTGCAGTCACCTCATTTTATTACCTTCATTTTGCAGATGGAGAAGCTAAGGAAACAAACTTGAAAGTGATTTGCTCTGGGTCACACAACTAGTAAATGACAAAGCCAGTACTCAAGTACTCAAGTATTCTGGCTCCTGCACCCACATCCTTGGCTAGTTTGTTGTATTCTTCTCCAATCTGCTTGTTTTTGCAAATGGGAATAAACACAGATCTGCTCTACAGTTAATCTCCATTGCTAAATGTGTGCTCCAAACAAACTCATGTGCCTCAGCTTGGTTGGGGGTCCTGAAGAAGTGTCATTTGGGAGTGGTGAGAGAAATGACTGGAAATCAATTGTGGGTAGAAGCTGACTGTGTTCTGCTCGAGATGGCTCTCCAGACAGCTCTGTAGACAGCTCTCTGTTAGAGACAGCTCTCTTGTACTAGAAAAAAAAATTTGAAAGCTCTCTGGATAGCTCATGGGTTTTCCAACCAAAGTCAGAAAAGCTGCTAGAAAAAATAATTCTAAAATCACTGTGTTTGTTCTCCAAGTGGTTCTGGAAACCAAAGCCCAGTCTTTTATTTACATATCAACTCAGTCATTTACTCCAGATTCCTTTTTGATAATCCCATGAATCAGCATACTATGACTTTATTCCCTTGGTTCCTAGAAAAGTACAACTACATTTTTTTTTTGAAACATTGCAAATGAATTCAGAGATCTGCCTGCCTTTGTAAGCATAGACAATAAGCTAGCTGCGTGGGATCCTGGCCTGAGATTACCATTCCTACCATGCCTGGACCTGAATTTGCCTGTCCCAAGCTGATCTTAAACTCAGGAATCTGCCAGCTTTGTATCTTTCTGACAAGCTGGCTTATTAGTGCAGCTGCCTTTGTTCTTTTAGGTCTATCAAGCCCCTCATAAAATTCATATTATATTTTGCATAGTTGAGTATATATATATATATATATATATATATATATATATATACTCATGTTTTCAGAATTCTTTCCTACTGCCTTAAGGGTTGTCCTGAAGGTCACAGCATTTACTATTTTTGCTGAGGAACACAGACACACCCTCAACTTTTGGACTCATTCTGTTTCTAATTATCATGGAGGCATTAACATTAGCAGGGAGAATATTTCCTGAAGGAGACCATGAAGCAAAATATATACATTATTATACAAATAAGCCTCATGCCCCACAACTGTCAACACTCATGGAGGCCCAGGTCCTACTAGTTCTGCTCCAGAGGTGGGAAACCGTGTCACACCCTTCCTTCCAAGGCCATGCAGGACTTGGCACTCATGCAACCAAATATGCTTTCAGCGGTACTGAACCTCCATTATTTTATCAAATTCATGGTCTGGCCACTTCATTCCCAAAGTTAGTATACTGTACATTTTTGGTCTCTCCTATACTGTAAAGATAATGAAGTTATAAAAAAAAAAAACAACAACTGGTGTTTATTCGCAAACCTTTTTTTCGGACCTATAGGGACAGAATGATATTCATCTTTAAATTTCCATACTTAAAAAGTAAGAAAACAAGCAAGGCCTGGTGTCTTATGCCTGTATTTCAGCAGTTGTGAGGTAGAGGTGAGATAACTGTCACTAGTGCAAGATCACCCTGACCTGTTTAGCAAATTCTAGGCAAGGCAGAGCTATACAGCAAGACTCTCACAGAAATAGGAATGAAGTCTCTTTTTGAAATTCAAAAAATGTAAAGAGATTATGATTACAGAGGCTAAACTGGGGATATAATTTAGATTTCAAGTGGCCAGAAAAAGCTGAATGACCCTTTTTCTTTCTCATATTTTGTGTGGTTATGAATGGCTGCCAGCTGCTATGTCAGTGGTGGGAACTGAACCCACATCATCTTGAAGAGCAGCAAGTGCTTGTTTATTATCTGCTAAGCCATCTCTTCAGGTCCCATCCTCATTCCATTTCCAATGTCACTGGAACCTCTCACTACTCCTAACTCAGTCACTCCAAAATATCTAGTACATTTGCTCCTGTCTGCTTTCTCTCCACCTACCAGGCCTCTTTGGTCTGCTTCATGGGTGAGTAAGTCTGGCTTATCTTTGAGCAAAGGCTATAAGAAAAAGATTGTTCAGAAGCACTTGGATTTCTACTATAGTATGCTCTGTAAATAAAGAGAAAACTAAATATATTTCTACAAAAGATTCTCCAACTGTCAAGCAATGTCAGAATAATCAAACTCCTCAGGGAGAATTTTCAGCTAGCATAATTTGAGTCCCACCAATCCTAAGCACAGCTCAATTAAAACTCAAGGGTTGGCATGGAACTGAGTGATTGGGGTGAAGATATTTTACACAACTGAAGTTTTTTGGTTTTCTTTTTATTTTTTGAGACAGGGTTTCTTTTCTTTTTTTTTTCTTTTTTTTGGGGGGGGGGTTTCGAGACAGGGTTTCTCTATGTAGTTCTGGCTGTCCTGGAACTCATTCTGTAGACCAGGCTGGCCTCGAACTCAGAAATCCGCCTGCCTCTGCCTCCCAAGTGCTGGGATTAAAGGCATGCACCACCACCTCCCGGCAGAGACAGGGTTTCTTTGTGTAGCCTATCCTGGTTAAAATCTTTTAACTTCTTGGCCTAGATGACAACCTATGTTACTGGAGTGCTCTGTAGCTATATTCTCTGAACTAAATAATTCTCTCCTGGAAAGAGAGAAGCTCAGAAGAATCAAGGAACAAACAAAACTTAGAAGGCTCATAAACTTACAGGACTCACACAATCCCCTCCCCAGTGATGCATGCATGCATGTGTGTGTGTATGTGTGTGTTGTGTGTGCAGGGAGCTCCAAGGATACAGCTCTTGTAGGTTGTTACCCCAGACACAATGGGCTCTTTGATGAGGCAGATGCCTGAGTCACCCCTGCACCTCCCTTTATGTAACCCCAGTAAACCAATTCACTGTTTCACTAAAGCTACATTAGGCTGGAGCGATCTCTTTGGTCTGTTGTCATTTGATTGTCACTAACATGTTAAAATCTCTGAGTATAGGAAATCCTTCATAACTTGCCTTGACATCCCTGTTTTCTTCTGTAGTAACTCCTTCATCGAAACAAGGAGTACTCTGTAATTTTTCAAACACACTGCTCTAAGTCCTTAGTGTGGAGGAAAAATAATCCAAACTAGGGAATACAGTGTAGAGAAAAGGTTCTATTTTACCATCCAACTCTTTGAGAGGGAAGAGCTGATCAGTAAGTCTGACAATTTCAGATAAGGTACAATGGAGATGATGAAATAGATGTTAGCTGTCAGCTTTTAGTTGTACTGCTCAGAAATGGCCGGGGAGGGTGACAGACTTAAATGATGAAGAGCCAGGTACGCAAAGACGTGCACAATAGCATTTCCAGTTTGATGAACACATGGAGGTAAGCCTCCTCCGACTGAGAACTAGCTTGATATTCTCAAGGTTAGGGATTACCTGGTGCATCTGAATGCTATATTTTTCTGTATTTTAAAGACAAAAATGAACCTCCTGAAGGATTCTGAGTGGAAACTGCCAGGTTCTCGTTTACATTTTAAAAACACCTTTCAGGTGAGGGCGACGACCATCTCTATTCCTGAAATGACTACTTACTGGGACAGTTCCCAGAATCCTGGGAGTGAGATTGAGAGGCGTCGTCTCAAACCTTAGCCCCATAATCTCTTTCTGGCGAGGTTTGGGAGCCCCCGACGTGGCGCTTCTACGTGAAGGAGCCACTTTCAGCAATTCCTGACTCCATCTCCATCAAGGGTCTCAGTGAGAGCGGGCTGGAGGCGCACCAGGAAGCAGACAAACCTAGGGTTGGTTCACAGGATAGTGTCATGGAGAATGCTTCCCACTAGAGTGAAAGACTCGCAGTCCCAAGTTACCCACACCAGGGAACTCGCAGCGGCGAGCGCGGGGCGCGAGCTACAGTCCCGGCAGCCTCAGCACCGGCTCGGATCCTTCCGCCCCGCTCCCTCTCGTCTGTCCCCGCGGCCCGGTGCCCAGCAGCTCCCCACCCAGAGCCCGAGCTAGATCTCCTTTAGAGTCCGAGGTCCATCTTCTTATCCTGTGCCCGGAGACGGGCCGCTGCAGGCTCCACAGGAGAAAGGGACTTTTTGAGAAGAAAAGCGGAGGCAGACGATGAAGGGAAGGCGAGCTCAAGTAGGTGATTTTCGCGCGCTTTGTCGCGGGGGGTTGTGGGTAGCTCGCCGGGAGGGAAAAGAAAACCCCGAAGCCGGTCGCGCCGCCCGTCGGGCCGGAGGGGATGTTCGAGGACGAGCCCCACGCCGAGGGGGCAGCGGCGGTCGCCGCGGCCAGGGAGGCGCTACAGGCCCTGTGCCAGGAACTGAACCTGGACGAGGGAAGCGCGGCCGAAGCCCTGGATGACTTCACCGCCATCCGCGGCAACTACAGCCTAGAGGTGAGCGGCGGCAGGTGGGCGGCGGCCCCGACCCTCGCAAGGCCCCACCCCCGGCCCGCCCCCGCCCCAGCCTATCGGGCGGTGGGAGTTCCCCCACCTTCGAGGGTCTCTGAGGAGTGTGGGGAGGGAAGGATGGGTGTAGCTCGGCCATCCCACCCATTTGTTTTGAGGCGGGAAACCGAAGCTCAGAAAAGGAGCTGCTGGTTCTGAGTCCTGCGCTGCTCCGGGATTCCCTAGGCTCCAGACTTTCAAACTTGATTTCTGCGCGCCGCCCAGCGCCTCAAACGGCACGGTGCTGCCGTTAAGTCGATCAGACTTGATCCAGTGGTAAAACGAATTGCTCATCGCTGCCTAGCCCTTTGATTATGTCTCCCCCACCTCTTTGAAATGCTATTGGATCCCCATTCCACAGAAGGAGAAAGTGGGGTCGTAAGAAGTTAACTTAGCGCCCCAGGTGACGCAGTTTGCCGTGCAGCCTGGCTCAACAGTATGAGCCATTTAACTTCACTTCTCCGTTCCTCATTCAAGAGTAGCAGTTAGTTCATGTATACCATGCACTGTAGTTTGATCAAAGTTCAGCACACAAAGCTCTTCTCAACCCCATGTTCCTCTCTGCTAGGCCGCTGCCCTGATGATTGATGCGGTGTCTGGCTCTGAATAAAATAAATGGTGCTTGTTATCATTATTAGATATCCCCAGTAACTTTTATATATATTTGTCTTCTCAGCAGGGTAGTGACTACTGTACCTGTCTTCCTGGAGGTGTTACCATTCAAGATTGCGTTTTAGAGGATTAGAGTCCCTTTAGTATAGAAACCCAGATTGGTTGTAAGTAGAAGAAGTAGACTTGTGTTAGCGTGCCTGTGGAATTCATGACCGTGGGTTCAGCAGACCAAGAGTGTTTGGGGGAAAATTACATTTGTCCCGAGCATGAACAGACTTGTCATTCCACAAACAGTATAATATTATTTTCATCACGTAGTCTAGAGCCGATCATAGGTTATGTGCAAATGCATTGCCATTTTAAATCAGGGACTTGAACATCCTTGGATTTTGGTACCTTCTGGGGTACAGGAGCTATTCTCCAGGAGTTATCAAGACAGACTATTTCCCCATCTAACTCAGATATTCAAAAGCTTTCATTATACACGTGGGTGGGATTCATGTATAGGATTCCTCTGACTCAGACTGCCAGTGACATAATTGTTGGGCAGGCAGGGAGTTGGAAATAGGGAGTGACTGTTGTGCATGTGTCTGTGCTCCTATGAGAGAAAAGTCCCTGAGACCGGCTTACATGTTTTCAGGAAAAGGCAGAATAGACTTAATAAGAGATAGTGATCTACAACAGAAGGTTCATAATCGCAAAACAGAGAGAATCTGAACGTGGGAGAGCTGGGGCGCTGGCCCGGTGGATAACGTGCTTGCTGAGCAAGCATGAGGACTGGATCCCCAGCGGCCACGTACAAGGCCGGCACAGTGGTCATGTGGTCTGTAACCTGGGGGTTACAGGGATTGAGGCATGGAGGGGTGAAGACAGGCAAGTCTCAAGGCCGCTCTGGCCTGCCAGCCCAGCTGAAATACAGAGCTTTGGGTTCAGTGAGAGACTCTGTCCTACAAGGTTGAGAATGATATATGAAGTCAGCCAGCATCTGACTCTAGCCATCACTGATGCATACAAGAATGGGTGAGCATATGAACATACATGTGCACATACATGCACACACACATATGCTATACAAAAAAGTAAAAGAAATTTTAATGACATCTCAGTTGAAAATATGTTGATTTTTTTTTTTTTTGACACACTAGAAAAGCGTTCTGATCTCCCAGGCCTTATTTGATCTCCTCAAATAAGCATGGTTGAATACAGTGTATGTCCAAGTCACTAAAACTAGATGCTTGTTTCAAACTCTTAAGCATGTTAAACTCAGTTCAAGTTGTGTGCTTTCTGTAGGTCACTTTGCCTGAACTATTTCCCTCTCCTATGACTCCAGAGAAGGGTGATGGTCTAAATTCTAAATCCATCCATAGTTAGGCAGAGTTGATTGACACTTAAGTCTGCTTTAGAAAGCACTTCTATATGAATTGAGTTTGGGAGTATTCTGTCCTATATTTTGTTTCTTCTTGTTCCTTTTCTTTTAGTTGTTGGTGAAAGGCACTTGGTTACAGTAAAGGCATCTTCCTCCCTCTGCTGCCCCCTAAGAATCCTCGCCACAGACTCTGCCCCCATCTAAGTCACCACAGGAGCCCTGCTGACATTTTCCCTCCACTCTCCTAACTCACACTTTCTGTTAGTTTGCTACTTAGCAGTTTTAAATCTTCCTTTGTGAAGTCTTTGTTGAATTCTAGTCAAAGTCAGTTACTACATAGTATTTCCCGCATTTTCTCTTCGATTCTTATAACCTATATTTTTAAATCAATTATAGAGAATAGTTTCTGTTTTTTTTTTTAATTGGTAGTTTCTGTTTCTTTTCTTAGCTTTAGAGTTGGAGATTTAGAACTATCTCTGGTTTTGTTCTGTTGTTTTAAGCACAT